ATACATAAAACATTTTGAACAACACCTCTGAAACACTTGCAACATGTGCAACATCCCCAAGGCATTAGATGAGGCGGTTCTGCCACAACATCCAGATCGAAACGCTTGTAACATACGTCTAGAATAGATAAAACATTTTGAACAACACCTCCGAAACACTTACAACATGTGCAACATCCCCGAGGCATTAGATCACGGTTTTATCACAACATCTCGCTTTACTCGTCTAGAATAGATAAAACATTTTGAACAACACCTCCGAAACACTTACAACATGTGCAACATCCCCGATCTAGTTTTACAACATCCATATGAAACAACTGCAACATATCATTAAAACGGCTGAAACAATTAAAACATACGCTTACAACATTCACTTTTATCACAGCATCTCCTTTCGAGGTCCCTGGCCACGGCTTTTGGGGGGCGGTGGGGGGGCTTCGCCGTGGGGCGGGCGGGGGGTGGCAGCGCGGGCGGGGATGGAGCATGATGGCGATGACAGGGGAGGGAGGGTGGGATGGGAGCGCAGCACTCGATGGAAAGCCGTGCGGCACGAGATGGGATGCACTGCGGTAAAGACGGCAGCAGCCGAGCAACGAGCGCACGTGCAGCGACGTCCGCTCCTAAGCATTATCGAAAGAGAATCGAGGAGAGAACCCTGGATATTGCCTCTGTTACTGCACGTGCGTCGCGCACCGACTCCACGCCCGTTCCGGCTTCAGAGAAAGAAAACCGATCCGGGTGGCGAGGGGACGCCGCCCGCCGCCCCCTCGTGAAACGGCAGGTCTCCCGACTCCCCAGGCCGCGCGGCGCGTCCGGGCATGGGTTTTTTCTAGGCGCATCCATGATCCATCTATTCTGGCAGGATGCGCGCGGCGAGCAGCGCCGCAGCCGGTGAGGCGCCGAAAAAATATCGCCCGGACAGCGACGCGACGCGGACGCGGACGCGGATCCGTGGACGATCCCGCGGCCCGGGTTTCACATGCCCTTGCCCTGGCTGGCAGTGGCAGGCCGCGCCGGCCACGTTCCCGCCGCGCCTGGCGCGAAGCCGGGACCACGCGTGGTCCACACGAACACTGGCGGAAAATTTTAGGCTGGCCCCGTCGTCGCACATCATTTTTCTGGGGCGCCGCGCGCGCCGTGCTGCGCTGCGATCGTATCGCGGGCGGTTGCTGTCGTCGGATCCCTGCAACGATTCGTCCGGGTCCGCTACGGATCCCATTCTTATCATCCTCCTCTTTCCGTGCACACCCGTCCCTTATCGGCGGCGCGTCGTCGGGGTTAGGTTGTATACGAGGACCGCGAGCGCAGCGTGCATTTTGGGTGATGGCTTCGCGGTCGCGCCTTCAAGAGTCGTTTTCTTTGGGTGGATAGGAAAAAACGGGGTGTGGTGTGGTGTGGTAGCCGTTCCATCCCACGTTCTACGCACGAGCTAGATTGGTCAGGATCAGGACGATTGGTTCCGTTGTCGACGCGTTTCAGCGTTTCAAGTTTGAACGCACACGACAGCAAGGCACACTGAACGACATAGCGAGTGAGAAAAAAAGAGAGAAAAGATTCACCTTTTTTTGTGAAGGAGAAAAGATTCAACTGGCTGTCCTGGGGTCGCAGTCTCGGCGCACAACAGATAGAACCAACCGGAAGAGTCGCCATACTACTCGACGAGCACGGTATCAGACGTTTGAATGGTTCGGAAAGAAGAAGGAAAATAAAAAGACCTAAAAACCTTCCAACAGGCCAAGTCATGGATGTTGCGTTCGACTGAGGCAGGTGGACCATCACCATACCCGGAACGACTATTGAAGCATTATGAGCTTGTTCACCACTAGAAGCTTGAACGAGTCCAGAGCTTGGATAAGGATTAAGAGCACCACGATCGGAAGCACGGATACATTCTTAGCAGCCACCCCCTTGACCAGAAAAGGCACCGGCAATATATTTTGTTAAGGGCTGGTTTAGATCGGGGTTTGGAATCGAGGTGCCCGTGGTGGTGATTTTGCGGTGCGTGTAACAACCAGAAGACTTTCGTCAGATTTTATTTGACAATTATATCCCTACGTACAATTGTATTGAGATGTATATTGTGTGATCTGCTTGGATCTAGAAAGATTCGCCGTCCTTAATTTATAATCAATTTGGTTTTATTGTAATTAACTTATTATTTTTATCTACATTTAATACATCTTGTGGTACCCGGGGTCTATCCCCACAAGTACCACGACTGGTCAGACTACACCGCCAACCGCCGCGTGCACTGCTTCCCCGATATCGCCGGGCTAAAAATTTAATGACCGTGACCCGGCGAGAGAGGGAGAGTGAAAAAGCGGCTGTGCCTGCACCAATCTGTGTGATAGAGATAGCGTTGACCTCGGCTTGGAAAGTAATCCTTCGAGTGCGTCCCTGTATCGTGGCCTGCGTGGCGAGAAGTGCGGGATGGCGCATAACTTAGAGTTGGAGCACCGAGATTTGTTTACATAGACGAGAAAAGGAAGGGACTGAATTATGGAAACCACGTCGGGAAACACCGTTCGCAGCGTCGCGGCAAGCGGCCGGCCAGCACACATGCGGACACGAGGTGCTGTCGCCGCCGGTTTTGTTGGTCCGCCCGACCTGTGGCTGTCCCCGGAAACGCTGCTCCTGCCATGTGTCCACTCACATCTTGTTCACACTCGTACTACTACTTATTAAAAATTATTAATTATCTGGTGTTTGCTTTGGTGGCAGAATACTGTACGTGTGAGGAGGTGTTTGTGTTTGTTCAGTGAACATGCGCCTGGCTCGTAGCTGGATCGCTCGACAGGTGTCCAGTTTTGCGTCGCTCATCATCAGGCTAGGTCCAAGTTCCTGGTGGTGCCGCTCTAACGCTGGTCGACAGTTCAGGTCTTAGTTTCGTCAAAAAAAAAAAGTTCAGGTCTTAAACAACGCTAACACAAAAGTGCAGGCGGCTGAAACACAAAAACAATGCCTTGATACTCTAGCGGTGGGGGGAGAAAAGCAACATTATCAAGTGCACTTTCATGGAAAATACGTAACGTTGCCAACACTAGTGAGTGCAAAATTTGTAGGTGAGGTGAGCTACGACTTAAATTTTGAGCCAGGCATACATAATCATGTTACTTTTCACTTTTTACTCCCTTGCATTGGAAGCCAAGGAAGGAATGAGCAATGAGCAATTCCACCACCTTGAAAACCAGAGCTTGGATAAGGATTAAGAGCACCACGATCGGAAGCACGGATATTTTCTCTAGCAGCCACCCCTTGACCAGAAAAGGCACCGGCAATATATTTTTTAAGATAAGAGTTGGAGCACCGAGATTTGTTTACATAGACGAGAAAAGGAAGGGACTGAATTATGGAAACCACGTCGGAAACACCGTTCGCAGCGTCGCGGCAAGCGGCCGGCCAGCACACACGCGGAAAACCATACACGTGTTTACTCACCAACTTTGATAGGGTCCATGCATGGATTTCACTTTTCACACTCTCTTTGTCTTATTCGTTTTAATTATCTGGTGTTTGCTTTGGTTGATACTGTACGTGTGAGGAGGTGTTTGTTCAGTGAAATGCCTGGAGCTGATTTGAGGTGTTTGAGAAAAATCATCAGGCTAGGTCCAAGTTCCTGGTGGTGCCGCTCTAACGATTTCGACAGTTCAGGTCTTAGTTTCGTCAAAAAAAAGTTCAGGTCTTAAACAACGCTAACACTATATGTATTGCCCGAGGCGGTATTGCGAAGGGCAATCAAAATGGTCCAGGACCACGAGTAAAAATGACACTTGCAAGCTAAGACTCCGCTGTGGCTTACGTAAATTTGCAGCCAACTCACTGCTGGCAGGGCTTCTGTTCCAAAATACAGTAGGAAACAGGAAAAGAGTATTCTGGCGATAAGCAGGGACTGTGGGATCAACCGGGTAGGATTACTATAAGCCTACAACTAATCCCAAATTCCCCCATCCCAGGATGTTTGTGGACCACGAGTAAAATGAACTTGCAAGCTAAGACTCCGCTGTGGCTTACGTAAATTTGCAGCCAACTCATGCAGGCAGGGCTTCTGTTCCAAAATTAGGAAACAGGAAAAAGAGTTTCTCTCGACACCAGGGACTGTGGGATCAACCGGGTAGGAGAATAATCCACAACTAATCCGAAATTCCCCATCTCAGGATGAACAGGCTGAAAACCATCACAATTCAAAATTTCCTCGAACAAAAGTGGTTTGGTTTCGTGAAAAATCTGCATACTCCGTCCGACACCACTTAAGCCTGCGTGCGACCAAGACAATCGAAAAAAGGATGAGGATAACCCAACAACAGCGCGCCGCGTGTCCCTCGGCTCCCACATAAACAAGCGACACACGATGAGGCGTCATCTCCGCCCCAACATCCACGGCCCACACGTCGGCCTCACGCCCGACCTGCCAAAGAGATACGCGAACTATCCTGGTCACATTCATTCAGCAAACTGAGAATAGATAAGATCAGATCAGGCGGGCACCGGCTGCAGAATCTGGGCAAAGGCATGTGCGAGTGGCCAACAGACACTTTCACACTCTTTTATATGTATATATTCACCGTGTTCTGCTCATCTACTTTTCAGCTAGTTTATATTTATTTTGGCTTATTCTTTCTCACATAAACACGGTTGAAACGGGATAGATGCACAGACCATGACGATGGGTTCCATGTCAGTGTCCTAGAAAAACCTACCAATTAGGCGCACACAGCAATGCAAGATGGTGATGTCACCGATGCAGCAAGTTGCGCGCATTATACTAGTCAGAGCGCACCACGCCGTGTTTGAATTTTTTGGGAGAAGGCAAGCTCCTAGCATTATCCCATTCCAACTAGAGCTGTGTCTGTGTGTATATATACCCCCTTCCCTCGCCCCGGCCCTGGCAAAGGTCGTGAAAGAAAGGAAAGCAAGAGGAGCCGAGGAAGAATATACCCATCATCCACACACCCCACACACATACCTTGTTCTCCAGAAATCTCCTCGGAGCTGCGAGCATGGGCGGGTTCAGCGGCGCTACAGGTCTCGCGGTGTACCGCGAAGAAGATGATGAGGAGCTGTTCGAGACATCGTCTTCCATCTCCAGCGACTCCGACGACGAGGACCAGTTCTCAGAAGGAGAAGAGGGCGTCGGAGCTCTGGAGCACCAGTTCACGCAGCAGCCGGTGCGGAGATTGAATTCTGACAGCCTCTATGATCTGTCGTCTATGATGGCACAACTCCCTGCCAAGTAAGTCATCCAACTTTTTTTTGTTTTAACATGTATATAATCAAATAAATCTGCAAGCATCATTCAAGGGAAAAATTCTCAACTCGTGTTGTCCTCTGCAGGAAAGGGCTATCGAAATACTATGACGGCAAGTCTCAATCGTTCGCGTGTATGTCTGAAGTGAGGTGCCTGGAAGATCTGCGCAAGAAAGAGACACCCTACAAGAAGATGAAGCCATCCAGGAGTTATGTAGCGTTAGACGAAGAGCAGGACTGTCATATGCCGGGTCCTAACAGCAGGGCACCCGGAAGTTCTTGCGCAAACCTGGTGGCTCGGAAGAACAGCAAAAACATGCTCTACAGACCTCCCACAATCCCTGTAAACAAAAGTGGATACCATCAGTAGGCTCTAGGACATGACTGTGTTTCTATCCAGGGTTTCAACCTCTGTTCCTTTTTTTTTCCTTTCATTTTAGAGGGATTTTGTTGACAGGCGTATTGGCCTGTCTCAGATGTTCTAGGTTTCCTTCTCTGCTCTCAATAGAGTATCTCCTACCCTGATCATGAGACATTGATTCGTGTAAATAACAGTGACACTGTAGCCACATCACAAGATCGTAGCTTGGCTATTTTGTGATCGGAGTAAGAAGAGACAGATTGGGTCAAAAAGGAACACCTACATACAAATTTGAGAGAAATAATAATTCGATTACATATCCCAATTATAAGAGCATGTAGAGCTGGATTTCAGTGCCAGCCAACAACAAAAAAAATCTTACAGGCTAACAATTCAAAAATTCTAACCCTAGAGTGAGGTCGCACTCCTCTGTAATTCTTCGAACGGTGTACTTGGAACCACTTGACTTCTGTGTTGAATACAGGGAAAAATGGGGAATCAAAAGAGCAGATATGAATCCAATCCAAAATGATTCAGTGCTGTTAGAAGGCATATTCATAAATAGCCTGTGCAACTCCATCTTCATCATTAGTGGCGCCAATTACATTTGCCACTGCTTTAGTCTTATCAGATCCATTTGCAAGAGCAACACCAAACGAAGCTAGTTGAAGCATTTCAATGTCATTTTCTCCATCACCAATTGCCATTACCTTGCACAACAGAAATTGATTTTAGAACTTTGCAACTTATTAGTTAACACATAATGGCAATTACATTGCAGCTGATCTGAGTCAAATAGGTTGAAATAGTACTAGTGCTTGCTCAAGGGGCTGCTATCCATGCCAGATTTTGTTTTATTATGTTATGTTTTGTACTGTAAAACTATTGAAGTCATAAAAACAGAAGAGGTTTCACAAACTATACACAATGATACCTCTTCTGTTTTTATGATATTTATCAAAAAAAAAAACTATACACAATGATAAGTACCCAAAGAAATGGTCTTGAGAACAACTGCAGTGATTAGTCTTGTGTTCCGTTTGAGTAAGTACCTCATCCTAAGCTCAAAATATTTCGATCCATCATGAATCCATGCTGTGGTTTTGGTAGGATAACACAATTCCTTTTTTTAGTAACATGTGCTTATGACAAATGAGTTAGTGATGGGACCAGGACCAACTGCATCCTCAGACCAAACATGTAGACTAGGTTCAGAGCTATGGATTAGAAAGATCCATTTATCTTCCCATTCCTCAAACCAAACACACACAACTCCTCAAGATCAATTAGCATAACACACTATTAACATCAGAAGCATTATCACAGCTGCTTCACTGGTATCTAAACATTTATCATGATTCATGAACAAACACTTGAATGACCAGGAGTCGAATGCAAAACTCCATGGTCAGAAATGTTGGAATGGAAGGTAAATAATGTGGATTGCAGAAATCAGGTACCACCATAATTCTTGTCCTGCAATCAGTTGTCACAGCGGTTTAGAGCTAACACTGATCTCGTTGATCTGGAATAATGTTTTTAGTATCTTATTTTTACTGAATTTTTCTGCAGCTACTTCAACGTTCTACCACAGCTAAGGCTAGCAAGTTTTGATTGGTACAATGCAAATATATTAGCTGGGGACTAGATTGGTTGTACCTCATCTGGACTAATGGAAAGGTGGTTCAACAGAATCTTCACACCATTGCCTTTCGAAGTTGCAGGTGGTACAAGTTCAAGCATATCAGGTTGTGCCTGAACAACATGGGCCCTTCCCTCTATCGCCTTTGTCCAGTACGGTCTCAATGCAGATGAAATTCCCTCAGGAGTTTCAAGGAACAATACTTTCTGAATATGAAAAATATGGGAATGTTAAGCTGCAACTTGTCTTAGCATAAGAAAGTGCAATTGATCCAATGATGTTCCATAAAATTGTACCTATCTTGTATACAAAATCGAAAATTCAATCAAAATCGGCATTTTTTATTTTATTTTTATAACAGAAATTGGTCTTTGTTGTGAAGGTAACCCTACACCTCCTCCATGCATCTGTAAGAAACCTTGTTTATGTTTATATCAACTAAATAAATAACCTTAGAAACTTGCTACTTGAGCATGGATTTTCAAGTAACAAAATACCTACAGACAGATGTTCTGATGCTAATATAGTTTTCAAGGGAGGGAACACTAAAATTATTCGTGCATTTGCTGAATAAACTATTCAGAAAGTTCATTTGATACTTAAATAATAAACATGCTTACCTGTATCTCAGCTGTTTCTAAAAGCTCATCAATAGACGACACTATTTTAGCCTGCAAAAGAAATTCCAACTACATTCAGAATGGACAGGAATACGATACCCAAAGAGTGATTAAGAACAAACTGCCAACCCACATCATACCTTTGGTTCATGGTATATGTAATGGAGAGAATTGACCAAAGGGTGGTCAAACATAGAATAACAATGATCCTGACTAAATGCTACTAATGGTATCTTGTTCTCCAAAGAATATAAGAGTGCCTGCATGAATGCCAATGATATCATATTCATATAAGAATAGTTATATGTTGCCTAACACACTAAAGAAAACAGTGGTAATATGTCACTAATCAGTAAGGAGTAACACAAGTTTCTAGATAGATACAGGAGCACCTAGCAAGCAGCGTAGACAATGAAGAGTGATTAGTTTATTCGGATAAAAAATTCTGCAAGTTCTTTCTCTTGAGCATTCAGGTATTATCTCAGACATAAGAGTGTTGTTATTCAGCTATAAGTTAGCTACAGTCCTCCATTCTAAATTATAGTCTGCTTTGGCCTTGTCCTAAGTCAAAATTCTCTAACTCTGACCAAGTTCAAATAAATGGACTTTTGAAAATATATTTCATGTCAAATTTAATGAAACAAATTTGACATTGCAGATGGTGGTGCATTTTTTTATAAACTTGGTCAAAGTTAAAGAAGTTTGACTTAGAACAAAACCAAATGATCGATAATTTGGAACAGAGAGGAAGCTCAGTTGGCCAAGGGTGTGGATGCATACCCAGACCACTCAGGTTCAAGTCCACATCGAGGCGAATTTGGGTGCCTATTTTCTTAACGAAATACCACCTAGTTCCTCCCAGGTTGGTCTAGTTTTTTTTGGGGGTCGAGGTCGTGTTTTGTTCTAGAAAAGGTGCATATTATTTTTAGTTCTTGGTGTGAGTGGAGTGGTTGTAAGGGCTGTTCCCCTTTTCTTCTTAATAATGATACGCGGCTCTCCTACATGTTCGAGAAAAAAATGGAACAGAGGGGCGGGGGTAGCATATAAGACATTATACCAGTGTGCAAGGAAAAACATGAAAATTATGTACCATCAATTATGGTTGCTGTGATGCATGAATGCAAACTGTTTATTTGCAGACATATTTGTTAATTATAGTATGACTGTTGATATGGATCCAAAGAAGATATCCACAAGACCACAACTAAATATAGAGAAAATAAGTGCATTTCAAAAGCCACAAGATTTTGAACAGAGCAGGGCCCTTCTATCTATACTGCGACTTATGTCCACATTTTTTTCTCAAACAAAAACAGTTGCTTACCTCTCTACATACTTCTTGGTCCAAATTTCTTTTATAAAGCTGTCTTCCTTCCAAACCATAAACCAGCAGACCCTACAAGTGGAAGTATGCACTCGATGAGAGTGGGGATAATGATCACAAGGAAAGTCAATGATGCGTAATTTATGTGATGCAATAAGAATACAATATTCTTCAAAATAATTAATAATAATAGAAATATAGAACAATAAACTACATTGACATACATAATTGGGGGGACATCAACTATCAAATATAGCAGGACACTGGATGAAGAGTAGAAGCACTAAGCACCATGGAATTACAAACATAAGTTTTGTGTGTCCAATGCCATCCGTGTATCATCTCAGACAGCTAATAGGGACCCAAGTGGACTGTGTGGAGTCGTGTGGAGATGAATTAGTCCCAAACTGGAAGTTTTAAGTATATAGATTATAGATAGACAATAGAAACCTTCACCTATGATTGAGGGTGACCATGACTATTTTAGTTAGAAAGGTCTCTCAACCTTTTCTTTCCCCTAAAATTTTTCCCAATTCTGGTGAATTCTGCAAGTACACAGAAAATGCATAGAGTACAAAAACAAACACGACAATCTGTCCTATTGGGTTTATCACCCCAGATGTAGTTAGGGTCCTAATAAGGACATGTTGTAGGTAATACAAGGTTTTCAGTAAACTGAATGTATTGATAATGATCAGGATGTTTAGAGGTGCAGCACTTTCATTACTCAAGACAACTAATGACTAAAATGACTGCATTTTCCAATAAATGTACTTCATAACAACCTGAAGGAATACACCAGGTGATGATTCTGAAACAATGCCAGTTCTTCCAGATAAGTCCACCATACTAAGAGCATCAATTACAGCAGGACGTGCCTGATTTCAGAATGAGCATGGAAGCAAAATAATCATCAGCGGTACTGAAAAGATCTAATTCTCCAAAAAAAAAAAAAAGACAACCAAGGCAAATAATTTCCATTCAAACTTCATACAAATTATGTTCAAGGAAAAAAAGCTTAACAAATTAGGTGTTTGGTCGTAAGACTAGAGAGGCAGAGAGAGATTGAGGTTTGAATGTTGCCTCCAGCTCGTCCAACCAATTTGCTACTGTTGACTGATGGCACTGTGGTCACCTGGATCGGCGCAAAATATTGGTGCACCCACACAAGACGAAAAAAAAAAATCGGCACACGGCTAAACTTAGACGACCAAATCCTCCGCCAATGCTTGGCCCAACACATTGGCCGGATAAGTGCATGATAGCTTCCAAACACGCCTAGAATCCTGTATCATATTATGAGTTTATGACAAGGCTAATGACATAGGCTACCTCATACTCTAGAGGATGGCCAACATACTAATGCAGGAGAGCGGGACTAGTAAAGAATATCTGGAGCTTGATGAGCTGCTAAAAAACTCAAGAATCATTTTGGTACACAGATGATCTTTTGCAAAAAGAAGTTGGGTATTCCTCAGAATACCAAAAAACCAAGCTGCCTCCACCCACGGGTGATGCCTGATGCCCTAGTGTGAGTGGTCCCAGGTCAGATCATTCCTTTGGTTTTAGGTGATTATCGCTTAAGATGTTTTTTGCAATCTCCTCTTACCTCCTAGGTAGGTAAGGGGGTAGCCTTGTACAGGACCGTTTTTTCCTCTCTCTATAGTATATAAAGATATGCAACTCTCCTGCCTGTTCAAAAAAAAAAGTGACACACCTAATCAAACTTAAGCCTCGTTTGGTTCCGCTTTGGACGGCTCCGGCTCCGCATGCACGCATACTGTGCTGCACTGGGCGTTCCTGTGGAACATTGTAGCGGGCAGTGTAGCATCTCCGTCTCCGGCAAAATAGAACTGGGACAGGGAGGAGACGGAGGAGCCAGTGTTGGGGGGCTCTGGCGGCTCCACCACAGTAGCGCGACAGTGCTGCAGTGCCTGCTACGATGACTCTTGATACACTAGGCTTAGTAGGGTACAGTGCCCGCTACAGTGCTCCTCAAGAGTTACGATGACCACCTTTGGCATCTTGATACACTAGGCTTAGTAGGCTACATCAAGGTCATCCAAAGGTTTCAATTAAAATAATTAAAAAATCATATAGGACCTCTGCTCTTCGAATAGATTAGTTGAACAAGAGCAAAGAATGTATAATACCTTTCCAGTGGCAATAACTATGTTTACTCCTCTTGACCTGGCTTCTCTTAGAGCTTCTGCATTCCTTGCTGTAACTTGACTTTTACTGTTGAGCAGCGTGCCTTGTTCAAAGGAAAAAACAATAATAGTGAAAACTATAGCACATCTAGACTGTAAAGACGTGCAAAGAGCAAAGGATATACCATCCATATCACAAAAAATATATTTGAATTTTGGTTTGTAAAATCTTAGGCTGCCAGCTTTCTTCAGACCATTTGTCACTTGCCCTGTAAACATTCTTAGACACCAAGAGCTCGATTAGATCATGAGTGTGGTGGGCATTTCTATAACATATTAACTTATAAATTTCATTAAGAATATACCATCCAATGAATCTGTTTGAGGCTTGCTTGAATCCAGAGCACTCTTAGCTAGACCTTTTCCTTTCCACCTTAGACTTTTTAAAATGAGCTGCTCCTCCTTCTCCAATTCTGCTGCAGCCTCATTGCTCGACTCGTGATGAAAACCAAGAAGATGCAATATGCCACGAACCTAATAGAGTAAACAAGTAATGTGTAGAATAATATCTGAAGCGGTTGTTGTAAGAGTCAGTGCAATTATGCAGTTTGGAATTGTGCACACAAATTGAGGTAGATGGTATGCTTGCAATACCTTACTAGATTGATTATGGTGCATTTAAGTAGAGGTAAAACAGGAAATGTGAAATGAAAAGGTGCCTAGATGGACTTATTTTGGAATCGAAGGGAACGATCTGTGAGTTGAAGGGCTTGGGATGTCCATAATGAATACACAAACTATAATCAATTTCAAAGGAACTGTGAGGAATTCAGGGAAGAAAAGTAAAAGAACCATACCACTAGAACCCGCACTTCATCAAGAAGTGTAACACCTTTCTCCTCAGCTTGCCTTGCAGTTGCCTCAACAGATATTACTATATCACCTAACATTAGCTGCATTAAAAAGATATTCAGAGAAGGAGAAGAAAATAAGATGCATGGGTAAAGCTAAGAGCATAACAACATTCAAAAAAGTATTCCTACTTACAATGGGAACATCAAGATCTGGAATGTACTGGGACATCGAGAGCATATCAGTAGTGCAGTCCTCGCCTCTCCATTCTTTGTTAAGATCTTGGATGAAGTTACCATTGCATAGCAATACAGAAACCTCAACCTTATCATACTTCCCAACATCACTTATCGATGTATCTCGGGTGCTGTAGCTGGAATCCAGAAGTCCATCAAGTGCTATCTTCATTGCCATTGGGACATTTAACTTTAGGATTTCTACAATGTTCTGCACGTGCATATGACAGAAAATTTACAAACATATATGAACAACTCATCAGTCTGAGAGAAATAGGCTAAAGCCTAATCACAACAGAACACAAAAACAATATGTACACACATAAATAGCTAAATTTAGGTAACCAATAGGCACCCAACTACCCACTACCCAAACAAAAGCCAGAATCACACATCAGTTACAGGTATACTTAGGTATGACCTACATTTTCCCAGGCTACTCGTGCCTTGGTCAAAGAAAATTCTACCAAGACTGCTATTAGAAGCACATTCTTCCATTTAATGTAAAGGTATCTTTTTGGGATGTGCATTACCAGAAACCCATGTTAAAACTTAACAAAAACTGCAACAAACATACAAACATATCTAACAATCAATTGCCATTCACCATGAGGAAACAATCAGCTCAAAAGCCAGATAATACCGGAAGTCCACAATACCTAAACATAAATAGGTCAAATAGCTTGAGTAACCAGAATGCATCAACTACACAAATCTGAGCCATTATTACAAGCCAAATACAGTTCTTTTTTTTTTCCTTAGAAAGAACCTACATTGTCCTAGACAACATATTACTGGTGAAAGAGATCTCTACTAAAACATGTGCTGAGAGACCTGAAACATGTACGTCCTTACTGATTAGGTACTTCTCGGGATGTGCCACTCCAATCATTCATATTGAGTACATCGAGACATAACCAGTTCAAAATGGCAAAACATGGTCTCTAATCAGCCAGTTACTACATAAATGAACAGCTGCATTGATCAAAACAAAAGACAAGTCTAAATTGTTCTGCAATATCAGGACAAAACATGGTGCGACATAATGGTGCACCAAATATAAACAGTTGCAGGATTCTCATCGGCATTTCCAATTAACACTTCTAAAGCAGCAGGGATAATAAGAATACAGAGAAATTCCATAAAGGGTGATGTGTACCAGCACTTCTGGGTCGTCGGGCATGTCCTCCTCGACGCCGATGCGAGCGATGAGCTCGATCTCGCTCTCCTTCGGCGGGGTGGGGGCGGGGGCGGCGGTGCGACCTGAGGCTGCGACCGCTTCGCCGACGCCTGTCCGCGCCGTCCCTTGCGGAACCCGCGGATTCCAGCGAGGAACCCTGCGAACGGCGGCGGCGCCGCTATCGAGGGCTCAGGGGTGCCCGTGTGCCCGCGCCAGGAGAGCAGCGAGGCCGCGAGTGCAGCCCCGGCAGCGGGGGGCAGGGGCGGCGCCGCGGCGGCGGAACGGAGCAGCGCCGCGCCGGGGAAGGGCGGCGGTAGCGGGAGGTGGAGGGACGAGCGCGACGCGAACGGGAGCGCGCGTGACACGATCCGCGCCATGGCCGTCGCCCCCAGTCGTGTGGCGGCGGGAGAGAGGGAGGAGGTTGGAAGAGGGTTTTGGCTGGTTTGTTTGGCTCGTCCGATTTTGATTCGTACGGGACATGTTTCCTCGGACCAGGGTTTTGCTCGCACACCTTCACCTCTATGAAATGGGATCTTCAGTTCACTAGCTTGGGCGTTTGGAGTACATGTATTCCAGTTTCAGTTGGAGATTGCGTCTTTGTTCTGCTCGCGTGCTCGCTTCGTCGTCTGGATATTCCATGGAATATGTCCCCAGAAAGTGAACAAATGGGAAATCAGCCACGAAACGAGGATGACAGATTCACAGTACACCACCACGCACATCCAGTACGAGAATAACGTCAGCAAAGTCCGAATGCAAATTCACGACAAGTTCATGTACAGACATATGGAATACACACAAGCCGGCTTGTTCGAATTCTTTTTTCAATTAAAACAGTATTTTTCTCTCACAACAATTCAGTCAGAACAGTGTTTTTCAGTTAGTTCAAAATTCAGCAAACCGAACGAGGCCTTAGGTCAATAATCAATCAAATTGAGGTCAATGCCGCCCCGTTGGCTGAAAAGACCTGTTTTTATTCCAAGTAAACAATGATGCAAATTGCAATGAATCACATGCTTTTGAGAAAAAACAAGGATATTTGACGCGTTCACAGCTCTACACTCTAATCTAAAAACTAAACAGGTAAACAACCCCTCTGGCTATGCACACAACTTCTTCCCGATGGCACTGCCATGGCTATAAAACTCAGGCTTCTAGAAATCCTATTTGAATGATTGCCTATCTAGAGATACACTCTTGATTCAACATGGAAAACTGGAGAAAGACACTACCGCACTAGCAAGCGCGAACCTCAGTGAACCGGCTTGAAGCTGGTTCACAATTGCTGTTGTTAAGTTTCAGGGAGCCAAAGAGGCAGGACAATCTCCTCATGATGGGCCTGCGAGTGGCTACTACCAACGACACGGCATCTTTCCTAGTACCAATATAAGTATCATAGCCCTCAAGATCTGCTTCTGTTATGAGGACTGCATCGGTGCACCCAGTGGGGCTGGCTGGCTTAGACAGCATAATTTGAGATAGTGGTAAGCCACTATCTTCGCAGTCAAACTCCATCACGTGGTAATCATCATTTTCTGTGTTCGTACGGCGAGCTTCAATGGCTTCTAGGAAATAGCCCAGGTTTGTACTCCGTACCGGAAGTTGTCCAGTGGTGAGAGTTCCAAATGAGCTAACAGCCTGCAAAATTGTGTGAATTGTCATAAAGTGTCTTAACACCAGTAGTATTGTACTAATAACTTAGAATGCAATCACAAAAGACTCCATACATGCCACTGCGATGGTGCCAAAAGCACTCTAGGCCTAATGGATCGGACATGATCCAAAGCTGCTTCAGGGGTCATGTTCCTGTATTTAATCTGCAACACAAGGATTATCAGGAAATTAAACAGGAGCATGCATACTGAGTCAAAATACAAATGTAGTTCATCCTACCAAGTAGCACAATACAATAGTGGTGCTTCGTCCTCTTCCAGCTTTACAATGAACATACGTAGTACCGCCTTGTAATGCATTCCCTGAAAAGAAGGCAGCTATATATTGAATCTACCAATTTGAGAGTGTGTATTCAAAATTTCAAAGAGTAACAAAAAGTTTTATTTGCCGATTGCATAAATCCTAGTTTCTGGCAATGTATAACTGATTAAAAAATCACATAGCACTAATTGTATAATTGATTTTGGGTTGAATGCTTGAATAGCCTATCATTTTGTGTCATTTTCATTTTTCTAATACATGTACATAGTATATACTACATATGCATAACCTTTTGGCAAAAATACCTATGAATTTGGCTGGGCATGCCCTGTCATAGATTGCTGTTTGACACAAATCAAGAATTTAGATTATAGACATGCTTTGATGGGCTATGATTCTAGTTTGTTTGTTTGAATGACTGACAGACATTGTGTAACGGCTAGGCTCATTTCAATGTTTTTCGATAGCAAATCTACAATAATTTCACATAATTGGACGTGACATACAATGACATCTAACAGAACCTTAATCCGGAGGTTGGGGATGGACTGTGCAATAAAAGATAGTGCTGCAGCTTCTTTGTAACCATACCTACCACTGCAGAATCTAATTGGCAATACATACCTAACGATATAAACAATAGTTGACCAGTGATCAGAATAATAACCCGCTTTCCTTTTCTGAGCTAACTGCTACTGCTTTGCTTCCCTAAGTTTGAGCCAACCACCACTAACTCTCCTACCTATGATTCGACGGTTACTCTTTGGAAGAAAAAAAAAAATCCATAACAAAAAGGTACCACGGATGCAAGGAAAATAAAATAATAGAAACTGATCAGAGCTGGGGTTATGTTTCAGAAAAAAAAAGTATGAATTTGCTATCGTGTATTTTTTTTGTCCATAAAAATAAGCAAGGAAGGGCAAGAACTTACGGTGGATGAAATCTATGGCTTGAGAAATATCCTCGAGTGAAGGTGCAAAGAGGTAATCTCTTGTTGGAATTACCAGGTGCTCAATCTCATTAGCCTAGAAAAAGAAAGCATGTGTTGTTATTTGTATATGTTTTCACATTGCATATGCACAACAGTTCAATTGAGTCCCCTGAACTCTGAACTAACATACATGCAAAAGGATAGACTTGGCCAGTGCTGAAGATGGCAACTCTATCAAATTTTATAAACACAAATGGAGTCACATAACTAGCATAAGATGGAACAGTTACCTGGTATAAAGATGTTGGGACAAGAGTTTCATAAGGTTCATTCAACGTTACAACCCCTTGAACTCCAAGCTGCTTCAACCGTGGAACATCACTTGGAAAAGGAACAGCGCCAAGCAAAATAAACTGGATGGAGATCGGAAAAAAGATTAGGCAGAGGCATTTCAGAGTGCACATTCTTCTGATACATAATTAGAAATTTAGAATACTAGGTTCTGTGAAGACCGAAGAAAGATGAAACAATTAATAACACCAGTGAAGGACTCAAGGTTTGCTACTCCTGTGAAGGCAGGGCTCTGGGGCCCTAGCCCCTGGGCATGTGAATATTCATCCTCGATGCCAAATGATATACCAAAAATACTAAAGGACGAGCTGCCGCAAACATGGGCACGTTGACTGGTAAGAACCCACAATCTTTTCACAACTGGGTTAAAATTGGAACGTGTGACAAAAGCAAGCACGAGAACAATCACTGCTCACAAGGGAGCAATGAGGTGATATATTTCCTCACTGCTGAGTAGAAGTCACTCTTAAGCACAAACGAGCTTTGTCGGGCGATATATTTCCCTGCTGCTGAGTAAAAGTCACTCTTAAGCACAAACGAGGTTAACAAAGCAAAGTCAATCCCTGCGTAGAACTCAAATTTAGGGCCACTAGCAGGTGCATAACTTCAGAGGAAAAAAAACTGATAAAACACCCAACTATCCGAGCATCACAAATCCAACATTAACAGTACTGATCTCAGCCACAGGAATAAGTCAATAAATAACCACATCACAACCACTTGCGAGCAAATTAAATCAAAACGTATAATATATACCATCCAGAAAACTACTAACCACACAATCCACGCAGAACAAAGCAAGGAAGGGCCAGTACCTGGTCGACGCGATCCCACCACCGGAAGTCCGCCTCGAACCGGTTGCGCAGGACGTTGTAGAGCAGCGTCGGGTAGAACAGCACCCTCGCGCCGGCGCCGACGAGCGCACGCTTCGCCTTAAGCCGTACGAGCTCGCCGCCACCGCTCGCCTGAACCTCCTCCTGCTGCTGCTCCTGCTGCCACGCCAGGCCCGCGTCACCGTCTCCCAACTCGCAGATCCTCATTTCCCACCACCACAACAGCTCGCGAGTCCTCGCGCTGCCGAGACGCCTCCAGCGTCCTCCTCCTCCGCTTCCGCAGCGAGCAGATCCGTGGAGGAACGGAAGAGGAGGGGAATCGGTGGATCGAGACGGTGGGTGGTAGCCTATCCTTGCTCGCGACCGTGGCCTGGGGACGCGAGAAATGGGACGACTGATTTTTGTCTAAAACCCCACAGCAGCAGAATGCGGAAACAGGTGGCACGGAGTGCTGAATCGGAAGGAAGCAGAGCTGGCTCTCGCTGGTTTTTGTTGGTGGAGTTATTGGTGGCGGAAACGTGGGTGCGTTTCCTTCTCAGGTACCCGGGCATTTGCAGTTTTGCATAACCGCTCCCCTTTTCTTGTCGGGTGGGGTAGGTGCAACAACAATTTCCTAATGTTTCTTTCATGGTCCAGCGCCGATGCCTTTGTAAGGTCTCAATTTACAAAGATGTGTGTTACAAGAAGGCAGTAGCTAAGGGCTTGTTCGATAGCCATTGTTGTTTTATTGTTGTGGCGGTGGCTACACTTCCGTCCCAACAGAGTACTGTAGCCGCAGCAGAAACAGTTGTAGCTGGCTAGATAATAAAGGAAACACGCAGGCTACACCTAGTCATAGAACGCGCGGCCTTCGGTAACACAGCCCAGAAGCATCACTTAGAAGCGCTCAAAACACAATTTTGGACTATATGGGGGTTATGGGCAGAAAAGTGCCTAATTAACAATCGCACGCGTCAATCACTTTCCGAGGGCATAATTGTGAAACCTCCCGTTTATTGCCAAACCAAACACTTCGGATCGGATATCCATCGCGCCCTCAGACCTCAAGTCACTCCGGTCCAATCAGTGCCGTATATTCAGCATCCAATGAGCCGGCCTCCCGGACCGACCCCAGGACAGACCAGCGCCGTCGAATCTGGATCGGTGGATCCGACGGCGCCAAATGGCATGCCCACGCCCCATCGCTCTGACGTCTGTTCGTTTCTCTTATCGGAGTATTTTTCTACGCAACAGATTAGCGAACAGTGGGGGCAAGCCCGCGCCGCGGATTCGAGTTCGAGCCCGAGCCCCCGGCTGCGCGCGTGATTGGACTGCGGCGCCCAGCGGCCGAGCGGCGTCACGCGGGATGTACGCGCACGACCTGCCTGCTGCCCCACGTGGAACCACCACCCATTCCTGGCGAAGCAGGGCAATGCTCCCGGCGGGCCCCGATGGGCGGTGTCGGTTGGACGCATCCCGTTGGTGGATAGGAGTGGAACAGTGGGCTGAGCCCACCGCGGCTGAGAGCCTCGGGAGTGATAATGGTTTGGTGGGCCTGCCGAGAAGTGGAGTGAGCTTGCGCACGGTTTTTGACTCGGGTGCCGCCACTGGTGCTCGCTGCTCGGAGTCTGGGAGTGACGGCAGTGCGCGAGTTTACTGAAAAAACAGATAAAATCCACGTAAAAAAGCAGATAGTAACTTTTGTTGTAGTCTGGAAAGGAAGGGAGTCTAGGTCTTTTTTAGTTGACGAAATTTTTTGAAAAATGATACCGTAGTATTTTTATTGTTATTTGACAATTGGTATCCAGTGTCAATTATAATCTAATTAGGCTTAAAAGATTTGTCTCATAAATTTCGTTTAAACTGTGTAATTAGTTTTATTTTTTATTTATATTTAATGATTCATGCATACGTCAAAGATTCGATGTGACAAAAAATCTTGAAAAATTTTGTAAAATTTTAGAAACTAAACACGCACGTAGAGAAAAACAGAGCGTGCAGTGTCTGGGTCTGGGTGCGTCAGATGACGCCATGTACTGTACACGTTTTTGGATATGCATGAATCTAATGCGGCACTCAGATGATTAGACTATAATTAGAGCAGTGGTTACACTGTTACACAGGTACTCAGATGATTAGAGTAGTCTGTTCACCGAAATATTCTGTAGACGCCATTGGCTGGTGCTTGGTTTATTCTGCACGGGGGCATCTCCAGCGGGCGTACGTGGCGTGATCGCTGTTTTGGAATGGAACCGGTTCCGTTCGTTTGAACTTATCAGCCGTATCATTTTAACAAAATAATATTATTTTTTTCATAATAAATCAACATTAGCATTAACACCTGTCGCAGCCGTATCGTTTTAACAAAATAATATTATTTTTTCCCATAATAAATCAACATCAACATTAGCACCTGTCGTTTTTCCTGTCAGCCGAACAGACCCAAAGTTATCCGTGTGAACGCCCACCTCTGATCAGATTCGCCACATATGATGCCCCGCGATCTTTTTCCTCGCTGAGAGCGGAGTGGACGTTGGAGTGAGAAGCAGATGATGCATCGCCTTCGCGCGTCACGCTCACTGCATCGCCAGCGTCACACGTGACGATTTCAGGTCCGTATGATTTTTCTTAACTGATTAGTGAGGTCTTGCTTGCCTATATACGAGTATCTTTTTCTTCTCTCACGAAATGAAGTGCGAATCTATGACATGTTTGAGTGCACCTCAACTAAATTTTAGCTAGCTAATTGCTAGAGCTAAAATTTAGCTAGCTAAAGATTAGCTGGCTAAACTTTAGCTAAGGATGTTTAGATTCTCTAGCTAATTGAAAACCTTGATCATGTTATCCCTCGTTAATTTCATTAGTTAGCTAGCTAAACTTTAGCTGGGTAGTTCGGTCATTAAGGTCTTTTAGCTGATTTTAGCTAGGTTGAAATAACTAATGGGATTATGTACGTTTTAGCCTCCAGCTAAAATTTAGCTAGGTTTAGCTGTAGACGGTTTAGATGCACCACAGCTAAAATTTAGCTAGTACATCCAAACATGACCCTTAAAGGAACCACATCTTATGCATGGCTCCAGTCGGCTCCTCCGATGCTATAAACAGAGAGCAAGTTCTGCCAAACAAGGTCTAAGAATGGATTGGCATATATGATGCTTGGTGCATAGAGCTTGCGAACCAATATATGGTCAGCATACCTATAGTAGCGCAGCTACGAGGAAAACTAGTTTAGTGACATATCAAATGTCAGCAATTGAAAACAGAATATAGCTATACTTCTATCCTGCTTGTCAAGGCTAATTTGGAAGCAAAGGAAGAGCTACATATAGGGATGGAAAACCCTCCATAAAAAACTAAATAATTATTAAAATTATTTCTCCATGGATTTTTCACCCTGAAAAAAGCCAGGGATCCTAAAGGGGAGTTTCAAAAGGGACGTTATTTCACAATTTGAATCTAATTTCTGGTGGTTATAAAGTATCACTTTAGACGGGGAGTGAGTGGCCACGGCTCGTGGCAGTTACAGTACAGAAAATGCCGAAGGCAAACAGACATAGCTGAGCCAGAAGCAAAAGAAAGAAAAAAAAATGCCATTTCGCCGCGTTGTAGTAGAAGTGTTTGATGGATGGCCCATGATATTGCGTGCTTTGAGAACTGACATGGCGTTTTCAAGAATGCGGACGCACTCACGCACGCTATATTGGATGGCACTTTCATATATTTCATTTATATGCATACATATATAAAATAAAACACGAAACCACGTGTTCCTCTAGTCGTGTGTCCTGCCAGCCACCATGCGGGACGAGCGTGGAACTCGCCGACTGTAGTGTAAAATACGGAGTAATAAAGAAACCGAAGCAACGATGAATAGCCTTATTTTCCAGAATTAGGCCCTGTTTACATCACAAAAATTTTTGGCCTAAGCCAAAAACCTGACAGCGCCAAAAAACTGACATCCAAATTTTTTTAGGTTTGGTGTTTAGTTGCCAAAAATTTTTGGATGGCATTCCCAAAACCTGGCAGCTGCACCATTAATGCCATGCAACATGCAAACACATGCATGCAGGCAATGCATTCTGAAGCTTCAAATGCATACATGCTGTTGTCTCTCATGCAACAGCATGCATGTTTCGTCAAAATGACACAACATATGTAATTAACAAATAATCATGCACGATTCATCCACAAAACTGTACTGTCGTAACTGTACATATGCAATACACATACATGAGCTCAAACACACAAAACTGTCACGAACGGTTTAGCAGAGCATAAGCAATCGAATCACGAAATTCATTCATCAGATCAGACTCATCCTCAACTTCCTCGGGTTCAGGCTGATTCTCAGACGCTTCTCGCGGCACATAGTTATCATCACGGTTACACCTTGTAAAGTGTCTATCCCCTATGCCACTTATCCTAATGAAATTATGTAGAGCACAACATGCAACTATGATTTGGCTTTGTTTATGAGGTGCATAAGAAGGGATCTGATGCAAGATGCGCCACCTTATTTTCAAAACTCCAAATGACCTTTCAATGACATTCCGAAGACATGAATGTGCATAATTGAAGGTCTCCTCTTTACCTTGGGGTTCTGAGGCATCTCAATACTCCTGAAGATGGTACTTAGTTCCCTTGTAAGGGGCAAGGTAACCAAGCCGGTTAGGGTACCCGGAGTCCACAAGGTAATATTTCCCTACATCAGCAAAAAAAATTACATTCATGTAGTTCAACAACAAGGACCCAAATGTGCTATCAGATAGGTGTGTACCTGCAGGTGGATGTGGAAAGACATGGATGTATGTTGTTGTTCCATCATTGAATACTCTCATGTCATGTACAGACCCCGGCCAACCAGCAAGAACAAATGTAAATCTCATGTCAAAGTCACAGACAGCCATGACATTTTGTGTAGTCATGCCCTTGCGGCACAAGTGCTGCACAAACTTATCATTGGGCACCACACAAGGTACATGAGTCCCATCTATACCCCCTATGTAATCCTTGAAGTAGGGATAGAACCTAGGGTTTTTGAGTCTAGGATGCATTGTTCTAAATTGTGGGTCGAAAGGCTTAATAATGTCAGCAGCAAGCTTGACCATACACTTCAAAACTTTGTTTAACATGTTGGAGACAGTCTCCAGTGACCTCTCAAATCTGTCCTCAGCTTGCCTAAAAGATTGTGGTGCCCCAAGCATCTAAAGAAACATTCCTAGAGCCTC